GCGGAACATATGTGAAGGACCCATGGACGTGGACAACTGGGTGGGGATTGACTACTTAAGTAGGGGGTGGGCTGGGCAGAGAAGGGTAAAGGGGGAAATAATTGGAACAACTGTAACAGCATAAACAATAAAATAGTAAAAAAAAAAAAAGGAGCAGACAAAAAAATTAGTTCCCTTGACTAATGGAATTACCTCAAATTAAAAATGACTATGCTAAAAAAATAGATCACTATGCTAGAGGCTGGTAGAGTTCCCTATAACCTTCCTAAGCAAGAACTTGACCTTGGCATCAGAGCTGTAGGCTGTTAATCTAGAATTAATTTGTGAGGTATGACCCAGTGCATACGAGAGCAGTCTCAGAAATCATCTGCATGTGGCTGGACCAAGGTGTCTTTTCAGCCTTGACTTCCTCTAGAATCTTAGTTCTGTACTGCCAAAGACCAGCTGATTTTCAGCTGAGGGGTATATAGGCTGATCTCTCAACCAAATGTTTATTTTCCAAGTCTCTAATTCTAGGAAGGATTTCCCATGTTTCTAGATGGTCAGGATTGGTGTTTCCTAGATAAGTTAAAATATCTCTACTAGGGTTAACTGTGTAAAAATATTTATTAACCTGGTGCCTGAGTTTACTCATCAAATATTTAGTGTTACCGAGGCATAGTTTTAAGTATTAAATGAGATAATGCATATAAAATGCCCCCATAAAGGTAGGTAGCTATTATAGTTGTCATGCGGTGTTAATTCAATGTGGAAAAGTAATCATTGTCTTATCAACAATATATCTATTGCTGCCTAACATATCATTTATTTGCTCACAATTCTGCAATATGTGCAGGCTCTGCAGAAGTGGTCTGCCTCTGTTCATGCTGAGTTGGCCGGGTGGCTCTATTGGGATCCACAAGGACTTAAGTCACATTTCTGATATTTCATGCAGTTGCTAGAGAGGTTTCTCTTTTTGTCTCTCTCTGTCTCTCCCCCTGCCCTCTCCGTAGTCTCTCATCCAACACTATCAGGCTCTTAAGACTTAGACCTAAAAATGGCATGTTGTTACATCCACTGCATTCTCTTGGTCAAAGAAAGTCATGTGACCAGCTCAGAGCCAAACGTAGGGGAAATGGACTCCTCTGTAGGAGAGGACCACAGTGCTTAAAGAGAGATTGAGGGTTTGTTGGTGTTGATCTCTGTAAACAATATTCTAAAAATACACTCCATCCTTTATTTATGTATTTATTTTTAGAGAGAGGGGAAGGGAGGGATAAAAAGAGGGAGAAAAACATCAGTCATTTACTTTTTGCACTCCCCCAACCAGGGACCTGGCCTGCAACCCAGGCATGTGTCCAGACTGGGAATCAAACTAGCAACCTTTTGGTTCACAGGCTGGCACTCAACCTACTGAGCCACACCAGCCAGGGTCCTTCCTTTAAAATACAACTGTAAGACTGAGTATGAGTGAACATTATATGGAAGGCCACTGGAAGTAAGGTTTGAGAAAGGAGTTTACAGAACACTTGGACTTGAATGGCTAAAAATAATAAATCTGATGATCAACATGGGGCCAAATTGTGTAACTGGTTTTCTTGTAAGTATGAAGATAAGGTTTAAAAAAAGGCACTGTGATTATTTATGGGAGTGGTGATAAGGAGGTTAATTTGGGGGTGAGAAAGAGATTATATTGCAGATTTTTTCCCTTAGAATTTATAAACTTGCACATCAAAGATTTCCACATAATGAAAGTTTCAGGAATAAGTCAACAGATGCTTATTATAGCCAGTTTAGTCTGTGACTGTTATAATCATGCTCTATTCAATACTGTATTGTTCTCTAGTTACCACCTGTGTATTTAACTAAAGTGAAGGTGGCAGAGGTCAAGTTTCTCATCTCAAACGTTCACTCAAGTACTATAACAATAGCTTACCTTAATGGAACATTATAACCTGTGTGTCAGGTACATGTATCATGTCAATAAATAATGATGAGATTAAATATATTTGAATTTCAGTTCGCATTGAAATTTTGCGTGGCAAATGAAAACAATTTAGGCCCAAAGCAGAAAAGAAGTTACTCAAGATTTTAACTCAAAGCATCTGCCACCCAGCAGGACTCCGTGTTCTGAAACTAATGGCTTCGCGGGGGGTTGGGGGGGGTGAAATAGGACAAAATGATCAAATAAGTCAGTCAGCCGAGAAAGGGCAAAAGGCCTTAAGTTAGGTAGATATTACCTAGTGCTTAACCTTTGGCCTCTTTATAATGGAACTGTGAAGTACTTAATGAGACTTGCTAACAACTCTCCCTCTGACAGTACTGTCAAGGTGACACTGAATTTAAAAGACATTTTCTTCCATGCAATATGAATTATATGTAAAAGACCAGGCCAAATATTCAATTTGTCTGCTGGATTCAGTTCAACTTATTTATGTTTAAGTCTGAATAGCCAGCCTAATGAACGCTATGTAGCTGAAGTCTTCTGGCTTTTACTGTGCTCAATCTTAACACACCTCCTGAGGTTCAAAGAACAAAACTTAGCATGTGCTATTCCCCCCTGAGGAAGAATCAAAAGGAAACATAGTGGCTAAAGTATTCAGCAGGAGAAAGCAAAAAGGGAGTTCAAAGTTCCCCGCCCTTTAGGGGCATGACAAATGGCTTGTTGAGACTGAATCAGGTACCTGGACACAGGACACCATAAAATAGCTCACCATCAGAAACCAAGATGATTAAACTGCAGGTATGAACTTTTCCCAACAAACCACAGAACACTTAGCAAAATTGGATTCCTTTAGTGAAGTATTCTCATAATTTGAGAAATAAGAGAAAGAGGGGGGAAAAGCAGGTTGAGGGGGAGAGAGAGAGAGAGAGAAAGAGGTTAACTTGCAAAAGATCACATAGTTAAAAGAGGGGAGACAAAGACCTTGGGTCATTTGACATCATGGCTGTTGCTATTTCCACCCAAATATGACAGCTACTGGAAGAATAGCCTTGGACTGGAATCCCACTCCAAGCTACGTGAGACAGCCTCTCCCTTTCTCTAATAAGTGGCTGTGGTAAGCATTTTCCAAGCCTAGTCCAAGGCAGAATTTGGACCTTACTCCCAAGTGTAAAGGAGGAATACAATAATGAAAGACAGCTCTAAAGGTGGGAACATTCTCATTAAAGGAGAAATTAAATATTCCATTTAAGAGTGTTGGAAGATTAAAAGCAATTATTAAAAAGGAGCTTTGGAGTGGTTTGGAAAGTGAGCATATAAAGAGAGAGTCCACTGCCTTACTCAATGCAGCAATACTTCCCACTGCTCACCAAGGTCACCTCTGGGCTTCATGAGACTTCACCTTCCCACTGTGATATCCTCACAGACAAGGCACTCAGTCATATTTGTTATAAATAACAAATATTATACTTCAAAACATAATAAGGCTGGACTTAGGAAAAAAGCATAACTAAGAGAGATGATGGTGTTCAGTGTTTAGGAAGTATTTGTTGTGGAAAAATGAAAATGTAGCTGTGGTGGTCTATGTGTTAATATTCAGGAGTTTACGGCATTGAATGCTACAAATGAGTTTCTGGATGTGAAATTAACTGATATTATATTTCCCCTTTCTGACCAATATATAGTAGGGCAAACGTATCAAAATATTAATTGAAGAATTCTCATGGTGTGCCCATGGGTTTTCACTGTATAATTCTTTTAACTTGTCTGTATTTTGAAACTTTTCATAATGAAATTTTAGTAAAAATCATTTGACCTTTAATAAATGTATATAGAATATGAAGTTAATTATATGAAGTTAATTAATTAATTACATTTATCATTTAAAAAATTGCCCTTCTAAATAGGCTAGTGTGAAAATCAAACACAATCCACAAACCCTAAATCTGAGGATCTTAAAATTTGAAGGGGTTGTAAAAATGACCTTGTTACTCCCCTTCCCCGAGCTGAAATTTTCTCTAGAATGCAAAAGTGTTTATCATGCACTTATATTGGAAGAGTTCTGTCATCCGAAACTACACCGACGAAACTCTGTGTCCCTTCTCCGTACAACTGCCCTTCATACGATGACTGCAATGTCAGTATCACGCCTACGTCTCTCTCTATTCAAGCTTATTTTTCTTCCTACCATCGATGAACTTTTTGCTCTATGATCTCCAGACCTCACTTTACTAAGGTCATTTTCTTATGAACATGCTTAAATTAATTCAAGTTTTCCTTATATGGGCCAGCCAATCTTGAACACAATATTCTAGTGTTTTATAACATTGAGTTTATGATGAACTAAATGTCCCGAGGTGATTTTCACATGAGCTTCTGTTTGGCATATTAGCTTGAGGCAAGAAGGCCAAGAGTGTAATGCTATTCTCAACATGAAATCTATTGTCTCCTCTTACTCATAAAACTACGTTACCCATCATCATCCCCCACTTGGATGCATTCATCACTTACAAATGTCCAATACTCAATGTGGTTTAACTTGCTTTTAAAATATAATTTGAGGTAAGTAATTGGCACATAATTTATTTGCAGGGAAATGTCATGGGAATGGCTACTGTGGACACATAAACTGACAGGGTCAATAAGACTCCTGGCTGAACACAAGTGCTCTCTTAACAGTAAAAAAAGTGAACACTGAACTTACTTTCCCAGAGGGGTTTCTCCATTTTAATTTTTTTCTGTGAGGAACATACCCAATAGAAGCATATTAAAGTTTGGATATTTATGGGAGTTGGGGCGTGAAGCTAATTTTTAAAATGACAATCCACTCAAGACGCGACACCTTCCATTTTGTGCAAGTTGCTCTGTAATTTTTTTTAACACAATGACCATGTTTAACAATTAGGGTGGAGGATTTTTCAAATATATAACATGGTGGCGATCAACATGCTTTATTCAGAAAGTATCTACTGAAGAGTTAGCCTTAGCTCCATCCAACTCAACTGAGTCTGAAACGACCGGCTGTAACATGAAGGCTTTCCTTTTCCTTCCCTTCATGTTCTTGGCCATATTCTCGGCCATGTTCTCAGGTAAGAAAAGTTATGTTCAGTGACTTCTCTTCCAACTCTCAAAGTAAAGAAATAGAAATGCTCAGTGATTTAGAAATACTTTGTCAGAAATTTTGTAAACGGGCGTATCTATCAGAGAAATGGAGCAAGGTAATTTCAGATAACATAGAGGCCAGGGGTATAAAAATGGTGATCAGGTGAGACAATAACGGATAGCTTGTTGTGCCTGAAGAGAAACGGAGGCAAGGGAGTGGGAAAAGTAAGACTTTAGACTGGAAAGAAAATTATGTCTAGAAGGATTATGAGAATTTATGAATACTTGTTATGTTCCATAAAGGATAAGATTTAGCATGACAATCCAGAGCTGTATGATCAAATAGAAAAGGGTTCCACGCTTGGCTTTTCAGTGTTCTACTTATTTTTTTTCGGGGAGGGGAGTAACTTATTTAACTTATTTTAGACTCACTTTTCTCATTTGCAGAATGGAAATGATTATAAACTCCTACAGGTTGTTTTAGGAATCATGTGTATACTAGCATTAGCCACCATTACTTGCGTTCTCTTAGGTACCTATCACCCAACATACTTCTCTCTATTCCTTACCTCAGTACAGTTAGGTAGTCCTGCTTGCCAGGAATGTAAATTTCTTAAGATAATAAATAATACAGATAATACATTTCTCAAGATAATAAATTAGGATATATGAAACCTATCCCAGTTTATCTCCAAATCAAGACCTCCTGCTTGAGCATTTTTATACCTAGGTAAAGGAAATAATGAAAGGAAAGTGCCTATTAACCTTCAGCTGCTTATAGAGGGAACACAAGAAATAGTGGTTCTCTTCTCGTTTTGAGCATTGCAGTTGTTTTCAGGTTTTGTGTATAGGGGTGATGAGACTCATTCTGTTAAGAAATATCAGTCTGTAGTGATATTGAAAATGAATTAGATGTGAGGAAAGTTGTACAGAGATGTCATTTAGGGAGCTGTAAAAGCAACAGAGTTAAGAAATAATGATATAGAGCTAAGTGATAGGATGGGAGAAGGGAAAAGAAACATATATTTTTCACAGGGGGAAAAACATACATATAAAGTCCCTAACTAAAACATGTATGTTTCATGATGGCAGGTACCATATCTCTTCTGTACTTCAGTGCCTTGCTAGGTAACATTTAGTGTGTATTCAGCAGGCATTTGTTGCTGAAAGAAAGTACATTAATAACACCTGTAGGGGTTATATGGCTTTGGAAGTTGAAGAATGAGGAATCAGGAATACCTATTACAATACATAGCAATGCCAAGCATGTATTTAGAGTTTGTAAAATTGGAAGAGAAAAATACAGAAGGCAGACTATGATTGATCGACTGATACTAAAGCCTTTATGGGAAACGGTGGACATAAAGCTGATTGAAAAAGAAAGTATGTTCTGAGGAAGGAAAACCACTGTCTTTGGAATGGGGCAGGAGAGAAAGACCTTATCTACAGGAAGCAAATACAAAGATGGAAAAAAGAATATGAACGGAGGGTTCATGCTTGATGGCTTTTATACCTGGGGAGTTGATGACGTTTTCAGTAAGGTGACGTTGGGAATATGGGAAAGGGTTCTGTGATATGGAAAAAGTCTGCAAAAGGCATTAATCAGTCTGTTTAATTAATCAGGAAATCATTAAAAGAAACTTGGAATAGTATGAAGGCCTAGCTCAAACAATTTACACTCCAATTTAGAAATGGGGCCAGCTGTCTTAACTCCACACTTTTGGGAAACCCTGTAATATGGTCAAGAAAGAAATGGAGGAACAAAAATATTCAAGTCATGAGACATAATGAGAAGATTCTGTCTTGAGGTTTGGTTAGAAAAAAACCCAAAGAAGCATTAAGTACCAACTATATCTTGGGATGAATGCTGATGATTTGAAATTCATGAAGTTAAGTAACTTTATTTTTATTTTTGTGCTTATGGTATCATTCCAGTGTCTTCAGCCCAGACTTTGAAGACAAGTGTTATTAAACTAGAAGAGGCTCCACAACCTGCGTTTATGTTAGAGAGAAAAAATGAAGCTAACATTCAAGGAAGACAAAAGGAATCTAATAAGCAACATGATAGCAACACACAAAGAAAACCAGGGTTTTTTATTCTGCGAGGACAATCAGGGCACTCTAACCAGCCAGGGAAACTAGGGAGTTTTAATCAGCAAGGAAAGCCAGGAGTTTTTAATCAGGCTGGGGGTCTGCGAGGGCATTCAGGAGAATCTAACCAAAAAGATAGTTCAGAAAATTCTAATGAGCAAGGAAAACCAGGATCTTCTAGTCAGCAGAGGGGTTTAGGGTCATTTAGCCAGCAAGGAAAACTGGGATCTTCCAGCCAGCAAGAAAAGTCAGAATCTTTTGGCCAGCAGGGAAAGCCAGGGTCAGCTGGCCAGCAGGGTAAGCCAGGGTCAGCTAGCCAGCAAGCAGGTTCTGGGTCATCTAGCCAGCAAGGAAAACTGGGATCTTCCAGCCAGCAAGAAAAGTCAGAATCTTTTGGCCAGCAAGGTGGTTTAGGCTCAGCTAGCCAGCAAGGAAAACCAGGATCCTCTAGCCAGCAAGGGAAGCAGGGATCATCTAGCCAACAAAGAAAACCGAGGTCTTTTGACAATCAAGAAGAAAGAAAAAAAGTAGGCAACCCTTTGAATGCCAATATGGAAAGTCAGGTTTGTGCTAATTTCTTTATTTTCTTCAGTCAACTTCTCTCAGCCATTCTATTTTCCAAGTTTTGAAATGGTTAAGAGCATACACTATACTAATACAAGCACTTGGCCATGACACTGATTCAACAAAAGGAGAGGGAATTTGGAGGTGGTTATTTTTGTATACGTCTATGGTCATGAGTGAGTGTCATAGTCTTCTATCACATCTCTCATTTCCTTCTACTCTTTCTACTCCAGCCTTCCTACCTATACTGGACCAGCTCAAACTTTCATTCACTGAGCCTCGTTTCCACCAGATTTAACTTTTCATGTTCATTTCCATTGCATCCATAATCTACAAAGCACTCCAGTGGTATTTCTAAATCACGAATCTGATCTGAGGTATCACTCTTCTGCTGAAACTTCTTCAGTGGTGCCACACTACCTAGAAGATAAATTCCAAGCCCCTGAGCATGGCATTTAAAAGTTTTCAAGATTGAACCCCATGTTCATGTTTGGACATGATCGGGCATGTCATGCCACTCTTGCTCACTTATTATATACATTGTACAGAATCCTTTGATTTTCTACAAGTGTATTCCTAATTCTAATGATATCCTTTATTGTGGCATATACCTTATTGCTTGGTAATTGATCGTCTGCTGAGTTAGTATAAACTCTTTAAAAAAGTACTATTTCTTTCCAAACCTGTATCCCCAAATCCTAGAACAACATAGGTATAGAATCGGTTTTCTTGAACTACTTGTCAGATAAGTGGGTAAATGCCTGATGCTTGGGAGCCATCATGCAAACAGGTGCACGTCCATGACACCCAAACTGCCTTCTGAGTTCTGCTGTGCCCTGCCTTCATTTACCAGCCTCTCGCTCAACTACCAGCCTCCTAATTCCATTTAACAATGACTCTGGACACTTCTCTTAATACACCCTAAAGAATTTTCTAGAACACTACCTCCATCTCATTATCTTAATAGGACTTCATTTTTATCTCATAACTGATCATTTCTCAAGTCCATTGGAAATGAAAGCTGTCTCTCCCTCTTGGTCTTCATGTCTTGGCTGGCATGAATATCGCTAATGTCCCATAGACATTCCTGCCATCTGGACCTTAATGACACCACTAGAAGATCTCTGAGTGTTTAGCTTGTCACCTAACAGAAGATGTGGGAATAAAAGTAATGGATTGATATGAAGAAGATGGTAAACTCTAAACTGATGGAAAAGACCAACATGTTTGTTGATCTTCTTTCTAAGAAGACTAACTTTCCTATGGAAGGTCCTCACCAGTGCATTTAGTGTTTCTGTTCCCATCTGCTGGTCAAAGCTTCTTTGTGTTCAAAGGCTTCTGTCATTAAGTAACTTGAGGCTGAGGGAGCCCTTCAGGTACTACTTAACTGAATCTGCCTAAGCCTACCTCCTGCCTTGTTTTCTATCGTGGGACAAGAAAGAAGTGAGGTGCAATAAATTATGACCATACGTGCTTTGTATTTGCCAGTATGATTTTTCCTGAATTATCATTTCTCAGGTAGGGGAAGGCTTGTCTACAAAGTTAATGTGAAGGCATTCTCACATGTAATAAAGCAGGGGCTCTGGAGTCAGATAATTCAGGGTTTGAATCCCATCTTCGGTATTTAATCCATATAGGGTCTTGAGCTTTTCACTTAAACATACTGTATGTCTGTGGGTATAAAATGGGGCAGATTTATACACTTATATTGTTGCATGGCTTAAGTTTAAATACAAAAGATCAACAAAATGATTGGTTTAGTATAATGCTTAGTCAATAGTTAATGAGCAATAAATATTTGTTTTCTTATGGTATCAGAATTAAATTGAGTCCCCATATTTATCCAATGGTCTTTCATGTTACTGCAGACTAGCACCACCAGCAGCAAGAACCCAACTGTCAAGATAAGATGTAACTCTATCTACAAACCAGTCTGTGGTTCTGATGGAAAAACCTATGGTAACCAATGTCTATTTAATGAAGCAAAAAGGTAAGAGGACTTGATGTTTCTTTGGATCAGAAAGTACTATTCTGACCAAAGGGAATAAAAGAACATTTTTCTCTGTGCCTTTTTAGTTTCTTCCCAATAGTGCCTTGGGTGTTTGTCCTAGGGTATGTGTTATATTCAACTTCTTGTATTTATTGATGAGTCATTCATTTACCAAATATTCATTAAATATCCACTATGTACCAGGCATTGCTCTAAGCACTAGTGATAAGATAGGAGCAAAATACACAGAATTCCCTGCTTCCATGGAGCTTTCATTTTTTGTAATTAAAAAAACCCCAGCAAATGAATAAAATCTATTAGAGGATAAAGGGGGCTTTGAATCACATGGATCCTTAATTGTAAACTACTAAGGTATATTTTAAACTTAAATAACAAAATTAAAATTTGGTTTTGGTAAGCCATGTCAACCTTTAAGAATTACACTTTATCTAGAAAAAAATAAGACAATTATAAGGCTGCTTAAAATTAGAACATGTGGCTAAGAAAGAGTTAGGTATCTCAGCTTTTAAAATAAATAAATGTTCATCTATGAAGGTAGGAATAAAGTAAAATCATACCTCTCCTGTTTTTGATAGTTCCATAGTTTATTAAGTGCTTGGTAAACTGTTATTGCAGAAATAAATAAATGTTAAAGGCAAGTGTCTCCTATAGTCATAAAAGTTATGGTTGAAAGGAAAGTTAGGCACCCATTCTCTACTTTTACAGATAAGGCACCTGGTCCAGGGACCGCAAAGGACTGGCACAAAGTTCACAAATTCTCAGCACAGTCAATGTGTAACAGGCAAGCCAGAGCCTCAGCCTGCTTTTTCTTGCATGATTTTCAAATAATCACATTTTCTCTTTATGTCTTCATGGTGGTGCCACAATTACTTGGTCCTTGATTTCTCTCAATGTCTTTTTTCGAGGTTGAGGCATGGAAACCTGACTCTGGATCATGAGGGAAGATGCTAAACAATTACAGCAACCAAATCGCCTGGAACCTCAAAATTCACTTTCTCTTTTCTTTAAACAATGGATTTTCCTGGGAGTTCTATTGAGGTCAGCAAGAGTCTTACAGATACGATGGATCCTACATTATTTTCAAGCTTGCTTCACTGTGAATAAAGTTAGTTCCAGAGTTGCTTCTGATTTCTGGGATTGTTTATTTTTGAGACTTCCCCAAACCTTGTATCTATGATCTATCTGTTCCCAAGGTGCCAAAGTGACTAGTATATCAGGACCTATTGCAGCAATTTGTAAGCCCTAATAGTTAAAAAAAAAAAAATCTCAAGAATGCATGCCAAAAAAAAAAATTCCCCACTTTAGAAATATTTATGCTGTAGGTCTGGTAACAAACTACAGTTTTAAAACACATTCCAGGTGGTCTCTGGACACTTGACATGAAACTGATTTAAGATTTTTTAAAAGGATGCATTGATTGGCTTCAGAAAATTCTGGAACCATATGCAAAATAAATTCTCTGTGTACTTTTTCCTTAAGGGTGTCCAAAGCTTTCATTAGATTCCTAAAGGGATGAGCACAGATAGATTTTAAAACCATTAGTCTACAGATATTGAAATGTAGAAATTTAATGTATTTATCTGAACTGTGATTTAAGTCTGGCATAGTCTGAAACCTAGATGATTAGAAAGATCTCATTAGGATATTAGTCATGTTGATTAGCAACATGGATCTCAAGAATAGGAAAAAGACCAAATACAAGGGTGGGATCAGAGCTGGTAAAAAGAATGGTTTGATTAAAATGACATCAGAGAGATTGAACAGAGGTCAGCGGTGAATACACGTGCTTTTATATCCAAGGGAGCTCTGTTTAGCGGCAGGGAACTTAGACAGTATTTTGTATTTGGAAAACATATATCCAACACAGCAAGGGTAGCAGGAAAGCAGACAATGGAATAGGGCATGTGGTCCAGGTCAAAGTGTAGAGAAAAGCTGGGGTATCAGACAGAGTATATAATTAAATCTGTGGAGGAGGAAACATAATAGTAGTCCAATGATGAAAGTTTGGGCTTGATTCTTACTATCAAAGTCGTTTCTGGGATAATTCAACAAAGTATAATTTTTAACATAAAATGGTGGCATACCATGTTCAGTGAAGGGATTCTTTTCTATTATTTCCTTGAAAGGATGCATTTTAGAGTTTTCCTGTGTTTAACTAGAGTGGTCTGACCCAGATACGTTTGTATCGATCATTGCCTGAGACATCTTTATACCGTGGTATATGGCACCAAACAAATCTGGTCTCTTCTGAGACAGGAGGTAGACTAGAAGACTTGGGACTCCTTTGAAATATTAGGGAATGTGGACTTTTTAAATTCTTTTTTTCAAAGTATGAAGTTTCCAAAAAACAAACAAACCCAAAACTAAACAAAACCCCCCATTATTCAGTGCCCTGGGAAAATGTTGCATCCAAGTCTTAGTCGGTGTTTTACACACTTGGTTTACTTTCAGGTAGTTCCTTCCTGTTATTGCCCGAAGTGATGGGTTTCTTTGTCCACAATGTTGGGGCAGCAACACTGGGGAACTTAAACACCACTCTTATTTCCCATTTCCTCTCTCTGTCTCTTTTAACATTGGTATTATGGTAAAGACACAGCCTTCTTCTTATCTTAGCTCACCTCTTATACAAGTTAAATAATATATTCTTTTTTCTTTCTTCATGAAACTTTTAATTCATACATCTAACATTCCTTTTACTGATTAATGAAAAAACAAGTATCTTACATAGTCTGCTGTGATTGATAGTCTCTCCTGCTCCTAATCTCTCCTGCTCCAGAGAGAGAGAGAGAGAGAGAGGGAGAGAGAGAGAGGGAGAGAGAAAGTTCAGTGTATGAGACATAATGGGCTTCACAATAATTCCAACTCCAGGTTTCAGTTGGCTTTTTCCTCCAAAGTCCTGCACCAGAAGGACTGATTTGCCATAGGTGCCTCTCATGGTGTCTATGTAAATAATACAAAGAGTTCCTGTGAGAATAGTATTCACTTAACTGTAGTAATGGAGAACTTTCTGCCCTCATCAGATTTTGTGTTCTACTGTTAAATTAGAATTGAACAGTGCTACACTCAGTTTCCTATCTGAATCCTAGCTTTTTCCACTGCTACAAAAGGCAGGTTAGACTACGACGGCAAATATAAGTTTAACACCCAACTTGAATGCAGGCTGTCTTAATATTTTATCCCTAATATCTAAGAGATAGGAATTTTTACTTGCCCATTTAAAATAAAGAAGTTGCTTATTAGACAATCTAAATATTGCGTCAAGGTTACTCAGTGGCAAATGGGGTTTGAACTCAGGTCCTTCAACTGCCAAGGTCTCTTCAGAAATCAGACTATGAAGATTAGTTAATTAGGGAGACACATAATTTAAGGCATTGCCCCATGTGGCCTCAATCTCACTCCCATGAGCCTTCTTTATTTTTTCCCAGTTTTACTGAGATATAATTGACATGAAACATTGTATAAATTTAAGGTGGACAATGTGATGATTGAATGCTCGTATATATTGATAATGATTAACACAATAAGGTCTCTCGTGTTTCTGCTATTCACATCCAATATTCTAGTCTGGGCTGCAGAGCTGGTTGTCAAGATACTCGTCACAAACATACCTCATTTATAAACAATTGACTCATAATCTTGAAGGTGACACCTGACATTGATAAAAGGTCTCTAGCCGATGTCAGATCCTGCTTGGGAAATTTGTTTTCTATAAAATTTGTACTATAGTTTTACAAGATGGTCTCACTGGCAGAAACTAGTTAAAGGATTCAGGTGAACTCTATTGTTTCTTACAATGGTATGTGAATCTACAATTATCACAAAATAAAAAGTTTAAATTTAAACTTTCAGGAGAGTTTAAATTTAAAGCAAATCTCCAGTTGAGTCTATTGTGCTCTAGCGTTATGAAATACTAAGGGTCTAGGCGTGGGCCAAGTTATACATCATAAAACTCTTTTTTGCTGGTTTTGATTCTCTTGTCCTTTCCCACTCAATAGCTGGGAAGGCTTACATATATTTGCTCTATCTTAGGATCTGTAATTACTCTTATTACTTTTTCCCATTGTCATTCTTCCTGTTCATCAAATCAAACTGGCCCAAACCCCCTGCTGAGGGAAGGCCTACTGAGATAGCTTGAGGTGAGGAACACAAAATACCTCAGGGTCTTACCTGCCTTGAGCTACCTGTTTTACCCCATTAAGCTGCTCACCAGCAGCTAACAGATAAAGGAGAGGCCTCAGCAGGCAGAGGTGGCTGAGCAGGAAAGGCAGACAGCACAGCACAGCGTCTAGAGCTGCAGGCTTCCGTCTCTGCCGCCCTCTCGGTTTCAGATAGGGCAGGTTGGGGAGCTACGGGGTGCCCCGGGGCAGCAGTATCGCTGTGGGGTGGCTCCAGCTCAGTCCTTCCTGAAATGCTTCTGTATTCTGAGGAAAAACGGAGATTCCAGTGTGCACATTGCCTTCAATGGAGTCAGGCTTCTGTGGGCTGAGCCGTGATTGGGAATGAACAGCTCCTTCTTATGTGTGCTGAGAGGACTTGCCCTGAGGTTGTCCTCCCATCTCTAGGAGGCCTGCTATTCACGTATCTGTCCTATTGAATTGGAGAGTTGGGGGAAGAAAAGAAAGTATAGTCCACCTTCATTAAGACTGGAAGTGGGGGGAGGGGTTTCTTTACCAAAAAGAAACTTTCATTAGGAAATGGAAAATGTGTCCCTGGGCCATGCGATGTAAACATGCCAAAGGTGCCTTCCACAGACTTGATAACATGTCTTTCTTCTCATCGTGGAGCAAAGCTATTTTCCTCATTGCCTTGGCATTTCCTCTTTACTCTGGCGAGGGAGTACATTTTCCAGTCTGAGATGAAACATGTCACATCTTAGAAAATGCAGGCGACAACTGCAGTGATCTAGGAATAAAGGAGATTTGTGTTATCAGGCTTGTAAACCTTAAACTGGTAAAGCGAAAAAGGGCATATTACAAAGGACCTTTAAGTCAGACTGAAAAAGTCAAGAACAATATGATTTCACTCAGATGTGGGATATAAAACTGAAAGCAACACATGAACAAATAAGACAAAGAAACCAACAAAAACTCATAGGTACAGATAAACAGAATGGTGACTTCCGGAGAGAAGGGGACTGGGTGGCAGTATGGGGTAAAAGGGAGCCAAATGTGTGGTGACGGAAGGTTTGACTCTGGGTGCAGGGCACACAATGCAATATAAGATGATGGATCATAAAAGTGTACACTCTAAACCTATATAATTTTATTAACGGGTTTCACCCCAATAAATTTATTTTTAAAAAATGAATTAAAACATAAAATTGCATTAGTGGGTGGCTTTTTGTCATTTCCCATTTGGAACAAGTGGATACAGAGCAGTGGGTTAGAATGGGCAGACCTTTTGCTCTTTGTCCACATATGGCTAAAGAATGTTACCTAAATTCTTTTTCCCCCTCTTTGGAAGTAGATTCCATGGTTGTTAAATGCAAACTGTGGGGAGGAATGCTTTCTTCTAGGGCTGGTATTGCTTGATACATGTTCTGATGTTTTGATCACTCACTCTAAGTCCTCAGAGACAAGTCTTTGTTTAAGGAGAGGGCACATTGGAACCTTTGGCAATAGTTAACTTTCTCAGAGCTCAAGGTGGGCAATAAATTTCAGAATAAGGTACCTGTGAGGTATTGGATAGATACACGCACACATACAAATCGAAGCACTGATTAACCCCTGGCTGGCATGGCTCAACTGGTTGGACATCATTCTGCAGAGAGAAGGGTATTGGGTTTGATTCCCCATCAGAACACATGCCTGGGCTGTGGTCCAGTCCCCCGTTGGGGCACATCGTCCCTAGTTTCTCTCACACATAGATGTTCCTGTCCCTCTCTTAATCCCTCCCTTCCCCTCCTTCTAAAAATAAATAAATAAAATCTTTTTTAAAAAAGCACTGATTAAATAAGAATTGATATCTTCATATTGAAGTGACATGCTGTAAAGCATTGTCTTCCCTGTCTAGGATGTCTCATCTACAGAAAATAAGGAGGAAAACATTGATATCTTCAAAGAAGGATGTTAGGGATTATTAAAAAATAATATATGAAATTATTTTTCACAGAGGGAGAATTGAGAATTTAAAAATATTTCCAAATTTGATATTATTTTGTACATTTTTTTTATTTTGCTAATGGCATGAAAGTCTTGCTTGCCTCATTACTTGCAGGAGTCTTGAGTAAGCAATTTGCATATGTTTCAGCTGTTTAGAGATAAGGATTCTGATTCTTCCCAACTTCTTCCTCCTTTTTCTCCTTCATTTATTCTTCTCTCCTCTCCTTCTCATCCTCTTCCTTCTCTCCTCCTCCTTCTTCCCTCCTCTTCCCTCTTCTTCCCCCTCTTTCATCCTCCTCCTCCTCCTCCTCCTCCTCCTCTTCCTTCTTCTTTTTAACTTTTTCATTTATGTGTTGGTTGCATAAAATTCTTTTGCACCTGAAACATACCCAGACTTCAGATTTTTGGTAAGTTAATACTGACAGGAGTGTAAAAAGATAAACAATTAATTTTTATATGTAAATTTGAACAGCAAAATTCATCAAATGAAATGTAGAAGAGAGAGCTCTCAAAAAGTAAAAAAAAAAAAGTGTGCTTCTTGCACCAAAGTCAAAAATTAGAAACTTGGCAGCCATATACAACCATTTGTCATTATCTAGACAACATAAAAATGGACATATCCCATTACAAAAAAATTTAATAAATGAGCATAAGGGTATATATAAGCATCTGGAAAAGGTCAAAGGGTGTTTAGAGTGTTCATACTAACACAACAAAAGTAAAAAAGAACCAACCTGAATATACATTTAAATATGGATAAAATAATAATTTCCATATATCCATATAGTATATTACATAGAGGTGAAAAATTAAACAGCTCTAAATATCTGACTGAACCTAGTCCCAAAGAATTTTTAAAAGTGATTGATGTAAGCATATACACAGAACTGCTTATTTATGCAAATTATCAATACTGTCAACACTTAACCAGTTGTATTTATGTCTGTTTATACACACATGCACAAATTCACACAGACACACATACATATTTATATAGTAAGTAAACTAATCAAGAGAGATAGGGGAATGATAGCTAGAAAAATTGAGTTTGGAAGGAGAAAGATGTCAAGGGAAGTGAGGATTGTGGTTATTACATTAGAAAAGCACATTTAGCCAGTTCTATGACCTTTCCAAAAATAAGAGCAGGTTTGTAAAAACATATTGATAATATTTTATTTTTAAGTGGGTTATGGTTTACTTTTACAGGTGTTTAGGCTGTGGATGTTAGTTTTTAAAACTACATGTAGAGTTTATTTTTTCAATTTTGATGCATGACATTTCATATTAAGATTAAATAAATTTTTATTCAGTTACATGCCTTGATACATTGTTGTTGTCTCTCTGTTTAATAGCCAAACTGTCAACTATATTCGCATTATCTAATAACTTGTTCCATAGAAATGGATCCAGTCTCTGCAACCGGTGCAAAAACTTACGGCAATGAATGTATTTTCTGCACTGAACAGATGTAAGCACACAACAGTAAACATTTGCTCTTCCAAAGTATAAAGTTACAGCCAAGTGATAGTGAAATCTGTGTGGCTGATTACCTAGGTACAACATATGTAGAAAATAACTGAAGATCTCTGTAAAAAAAAATTAGGGATAACACTTGTCCCTTTTCCTAAAGTTTTTGTTTCTGAAAGTAATTTTGTGTTTGAGCTCTCACTGTAATTTTGCTTGAAATTGTGCAAATGTGTAAATCAGTTCATTGAACTTAATTATGAGTTACTAATGGCAGACTATCAACCAATATAATGTAATTCCAAAGCCCAGATGCAGAATGGTAGATACCCGTGGTGGTCATGGTATTGAGCCATGCAGGCCTCTGGCTGCGGGGAGCGTAATCATGCAAGAACCAAAACTGATCACTGCACTCTGAAATCCATCACAAGGGGCCCATCCAGGCTTGTAAGGGACTCCTCAGACGGCCAGCTTTGCCTCCTGAAGTCCATGACAGCCTCTGAATTCTTTCCTGGAGAGCAAGATATTCCAGAACACTCCATCCAATCTCTCTTCCTGTCTCCTTCACTTTGGAGGAGTTTGCAATTTAATAGTTTGGCCAGCTTTTCTATTCCCTCCTCATCTTCTCTCATAGGTGTTTTCTCTCACAAAGTTTTTCTACATTTAATCCCCCAAATTGGCATCTGAAGAACCACTGAGTCAATCTCCAATCTCTCCTCATTCCGATTCAGGTGGGCCCCAAGACTGAGCGAGGACTAAGCATGTAAGAAAGGCCACGCGCCTTTAGGAGCAAACAGAGCTCACCTGCTTCTGAAAGTCAGGCACCATCTCTCCATCATCTTTTGTGTGACAACCTCCTTGTTGAGAAGTGCTTTCTTGTACGCATATGATCTACACTTTTTGCACCATAGAAATGGATCCAATCTATGCAACACATGGTCAAACTTATAGAAATAAAAGTACTTTCTGCAGTGATACTACCCACAGAGTTAAAATACTTTTTTAAATAAAATTTTTATTTGGGGAAATTTTTAGATTTACAGAAAAATATCAAAGATAGTACCAAGTTCCCGTATCATTTGCCCAATTTTTCCTAAGGTCAATACCTATAGAATCCCGACACACTTGTCCAAACTAAGAAATTATCATTAATATGTCACTATTAACTAACCCACAGAATCTATTTGGATTTCACCAATTTTTTCATTAACGTCCTTTTTAATATTTAGAAAAATGTTACATTTCTTCTTTGAAACTCTGTGTGATGTCTCCCTGTCTTTCTTTCTCTATAGGAAAAATGGCAGGACATTTGATTTCGAACATTTTGGTGTGTGTGAACATCGATGGGCCTGCACATCCATGTGGCTTTTATTGTAATCACAGTCGGTGGTACATCCTACGACAATCAAAGTCTTCTCAGTCAGAGCCTTCAATTTGCAGAGGACCAGGTTAATTCTACGTAACAGAAGATGGGGTACAGAGCATTCCAAGTTTTTTTCCAACTCTCTGTTCCTGCGATTTCAGGATTTTGATTCTCTATGTTTAATTATTTAATGATAGCTTGAAAAACTAATTTCTTAATTAGATGTTAGAGCAAAACTATTGTAATTTAAAATGATAAATATTTCACTCATTAAAATGTTAAATGATGTTACCTTTATTAAAATACCTTTCTATCAGTTAAAGCTTGTGCATACCTTTACTAAAATGCCTTTCTTTCCGTTAAAACATGTGTAACTATAACCAAAGCAATATTTTTAAAGGTGAACAAGTAATGCATAACCTGAGTATTTAACAAAATTGCAGATTATTTGGCTTTCTATCCTAAAGAATCAAATTCTTCAAGGAACTAGTTCTGGGAAATTGAATTCTAAGAAACACCCAAGGTTAAGGTTATAATCACAAATATTAGGGATCACGAACAGGCA